TGACTTGCAAATATTTTTGAGATGATCTGGTCTTGAATTGTAAGGTACTAACCTCTGAGTGCAACTCTCGCAAAGTACAGTTTGCATGCATTGTACTCTTCTACATCCATTGTTGTTTTCAGCTTCAGCTCTGCCAGGTTCAGTTCCTTCAAGATCGTTTCCGTGACAAAGCAATTTTGAACCACTTCACCCAAGTGACCAGATAAATATTCTCTCCACAATTCCTCCAAGATCTGGAGAGATTTACATTGCACTGTTATCACCAGACTTCCTTGTCTAGCACACTTTATGAGAACTCTCAGCTCTTGCATGAAGTCCATGAACTCATCACGCTCTTCCTTGCTCTGTGGTGGCGTAGTCTCAAGATAGTTTTTCCCAGCTAATAAAAAGAATTTCTCTCTAAGTGCCTGGAGAGATTCTGTGTCTGGACGAGACACACTTCCTTGCATTTCTGGTGCAGCAGATGACTTTTGGAGCTCATCCATTTGGTATTTTTCAGACTCCATGATGGAAGTTGTTGTCAGATTATTGGATTCAGCAGGTTTTTGGTCTTCCACATCAATAGTAATATCCAACTCATCAACTGCTGATTTGTAATAAGAGGTAAAAATTAATCTTAATCCTTATAATTATTTTAACATGATGTGCATCTTGAATCTCTAATGTAATAGTGAAACTCATGAAATATTTTTCTGAGAAAATCCACCAAAAAACCTACAGCCAGGGAAAGATAACAGTTGAATCTGGTTCCTATGAGGGTTCAACTCCTTTTTTAAGAGAGGAAAGAAGAGACACTCTAGGAACAACAATTGCAATGTCCATTCCAATCCCCAGCCTAATGGGCATTTCTCTCAGGAATCTTTATGTAATTATTCCCACAAAAATAACACAATTTTTGCATGACCACATGTTCAGCATTTCCAATGTTTTGTAATGAGACCATTTTATTTCCAGGCCTTCGGTAAGAGACTAATTTTCTTGAAGATTTTTTGCTTTCACTGTAATTTACTGGGACTAAGAAAGGAGAGGACAGCAATAGTGGTATCTTTCTCAAACATCTTGTCCTTTCTCTGTTTGATTACTAATTCTTTTAAAGGTACATTACCATCTTGAAGCAGGATTATTTGCACTGATAAAATAAAAGAGGCCATGTCTGTACTCATCACTACAACCAGATGTGTTCTTACTATTTCCAAGCAAGACTTGGTAAGGTGAACTAAGTTTTGAAATTGCACAGGAATAATTAAGTTACCTTTTTTCCAACATCTTAACTTTTTTTCTAAATTTCCTAAACCACCACCCTATTAGTATTGGATAAAGATGGCCACAGAGGAGAGAAACAATCTCCTCAGCAGCCTGGAAGTTGCCATGGAAACTAAACATGTACAGCCCATCACAACTTAAATCAAAACAACATAGACAACCCAACGTGTGGAATCAATGCTAACCCAAAAGTGGGAAGGTAAGAAAATAAGGGAAACAAAGCTGCAAAGAAGCAGGACAAACCAAGCTAAAGAACAAGCCAATGTTCCTGCAAGATCTCCCTTTGGCTTCCTCACATCCCTGTGAAGAAACCAGTGCATTGAAATCTGTACCCCAGGTTTCAGCCTTGCCTAAATTACCTTTCGTCTCATTATTGCTAGACTGCAGTGATAGCTAACACACATAAGTGCTGCAAGCATGAAGCAAATATTATAACAAGGAGGATGGAAGAAAGTGGGAAAAAAGGGTTGCAATCAGATCTCAACATTTACACAAAAACTACAAAAACCTTGCACTATTTAAATGAACAATGTACAGTCTTTCAACAAATTTTCTACATTTACAGACAGAATATTAAGTAACAATATCACATGGATCTGAACTGTAACAAAAAATTAAAAAACTGAACCTACCATTTGCATTTTCCACCACTTTCTCGATCATTCCTTTGAATCTCTCACATTCTGCTCTCCAAGAGTACACCTTTCTGTAGTTCTCTCTAAGCCGTCTTGCTTTAGCTTCTCTTTCTTCTGCACTTTCTTCAGACATCTCTCTAATCCTTCGTGCCCATTCATCTGCATCTTCATCTAATTCAACAATAACAGTGTTCCCACCTTCAACTTCTCTCAGAGCCTCAGCTATGCCAGATTCACCAGAAACAAGTATAGGAATACCAGCAGAAATGGCTTCGAGCGCGACAAGCCCAAAGCCTTCGGTACGAGAGGGTAGAGCAACCAAGTCTGACTGATAGTACATCATCTTAAGTTCCTCTGGATCGTTGCAATATCCACGGATGGTTAAATGGCTGCGGTTGATGCAAGTGTTGTCAAGAAACCATTGCTCCACTTTTTGATGTTCACCAGGAGATGAGCCAACAAATATCAATTCAAATTTCTTACCAAGAGAACCTATGGCATTTGCGATAATATCGTATCCTTTAAGGGAAAGATCCTCAAAGGTAGCTCGGCCGAACACAAAGACGCTAAAGTTTTTTACTACTGATCTGTCTACTGCCAACTGTGATTCATTGGAA